AACGGGCTTCGCGCGCGCGTCGAAATCTTTCGAGCGACGAAGTGCACGCGCGCGCGTCGTTGCGCGCGCATGCCGAAATCCTTCAAAAACCTCCGCTTTCGGAAGGATTGCAAAATCGAGCGTCCAAAACACATCCACAAACACAGGGTTTCGCAACGAGGAGTCTCAACAAAAGCGCACGCGCGCGGTCTTGCGTCGTCGTCGTCGTCGTTCGCCATCTTCCCTCCTCCCTCGTCGCCGTCGCCGTCGTCGTCCTGTGCCTCTCCTCGTCGTCGTCGTCGTCGTCGTCGTCGTCCTCTTTGGCGTCGTCGTCGTCGTCGTTTCCGTCATCGTTGTCGCCGCGGTCGCCTTTCCTCCTCCCTCGTCGTCGTCGTCGTCGCCGTCGTCTTCCCTCCTCCCTCGTCGTTGTCGTTCTCGGCGTCGTCGTCCTGCCTCCTTCGCCGTTCGCGTCGTCATCGTCGTCCTCCCTCCTCTCTCGTCGTTGTCGTCGTTGTCGCCGTCGTCGTCGTCCTCCCTCCCTCGTCGTCGTCGTCTTCGTTGGCGACGTCGTCGTCGTCGTCGTCCTTGTCGTCGTCGTCGCCGGCGTCGTCGTCGGCGTTGTCGACGTCGTCGTCGCCGGCGCTGTCATCGTCGTCGGCGTCGGCGCCGGCGTCGTCGTCGTCGGCGTCGTCGTCGTCGTCGAAGTCGTTGGAGACGTCGTCGGTGTCGTAGTCGTTGTCGGCGGCGTCGTCGTCGTCGTTGTCGTTGTCGTCGTCGGCGTCGGCGTCGCTGTCATGTGCCATTTGGCGCCCGCCGTCACGGCCGCACGAGGTCCGGCGACCGAGTTGCGGGTGGGAGGGCGGGATGTCTGCGCGAGCAGTGGAGAGGACAGCTTCAAGACAGCCAAAGCGAGTTGCATCGCATAAGTTGCACCGCGTGGATTGCCCCGCGTAGATTGCTCAAAACCGATTCTCTGTCTTGAAATAGTATGAGGATCTACCCCCTCTCCCCCAGGGTGAATGAGCCCCCCTTTCGCGCTGCAGTGCGCGCGTGATTCTGCCGCGGCGTCCGCCCTAAACATAAATTCGCGCCGCCGCGGGCAAGCCCGCGCCGGCCCCCCCCGCGCGCGCGCTCGCGCATCAGAAATCATCACATTCAAACATATGCTGCAAGACATAGGACGAAGTGCGAAGTACACGCGCGCGCGTCGTCGCGCGCGCGTGCCAAACTCTCATGTATAAAAAACAAGGGGGCGCTGCAAGGGCGTCCAGATCTGGCGCCCCGAACAGGCATTAAGCCCATGGTTCCGCAATGAGCATTCCCAACTTCGCAAAGTAAGTGCTCTCTCTTTTTTTTTCTCTCTCTCTCTCTCTCTCTCTCTCTCTCTTGCGGTTTCTCAAGAGAACCATCGTTTTTCTTCTCAGCTTGCCATGCTCTCGCGCGCGCCCGTCTAATCGTTCGAACGCCCTCGCGCGCGCGCTGTCGAAATAACCCCTTGCAGCGAACAGGGCGTCGCGCGCGCGGGCGCCCTTGGAACGCCTTAGGCCCCGCAAGGACTTAAAAATCGAGAGCCCCGAAACCATGCGCAAACACATGGCTGAGCAACATCAGCTCTCGCAAACAACAACTGCGCTCGAGCTCTTTTCCGCCCCCGTCGTTTTTTCTTGCGCGGCACTGTGCCAAGCAGGCCCTTCGCGCCGCAAGGCGACGTCGTTCGAGCGCCCTTGCGCGCGCCCTGGGAGGCCCGATCCGCGTCAAATAATACAATGCGTACCATTCTCGCGCGTCGGCCGCGCGCGCGCGTCGAGCTCCTTTCTCAACCGTCATCGCCGACGCGAGGGGCATCAGCGCCGTCGCCGGACGCGCCGTCGCCGCTGTCATCGTCGCCGCCAGGGTAGCCACGATCCTCCCCGCGTCTACCGTTGTCGACGTTGCCGCGACGCCGCGCCCGCCCAGAAGGCCGACTCGCACTGAAGTGCCTGCTTGGAAGTGCCCGGAAGTCAGCGCCACCGCGGCCGCGTCGGTCGCGCCAGACTAGCCGGCCCCGGCGCGCGCGGACACGCGCGGGCCAGCGCGCCTACGGAGATGCACCAGCCAACGCCAAGCAATCATGGCAATCGCAGCCGGGCGCGTTTTGCAAGACCAGTTGCAAGTGGGTGGGCGGGGCGACAGCGCGAGCAGTGGAGTTGACTTTTGCGAGTTCCACAAGTGAGTTGCACCGCGTAGAGTCCACCGGTTAGACCACGCCACATAGTAAGCGGATTATATATTGATCCGCATCTGTTGCATCGCGTGGATTGCGCAATATTTTGCACCGCATAGGCTGCGCAACATATGTTGCGCCAAATACAATGCACCACGTTCATTCTCTTCCCTAGAAGAACATGAGGAACTACCACCCCTCCCCCCCCCCTCCTCTCCCCCCCGGATTTGGCCGCCTCCTTTTCGCGTTGCTACGTTCGCACGATTCAGCCCCGTCTGAAATATGATGTCACACCATCCCAGGCAGGCCAGCAATGCCCCCCCCCCCCCCCCCTCGCATCCGCAGCAACAGATGCTACTCGCGCGCTCGTTTGTAAGCAATCATACGCTGCCAAGACTCCCCTGCAACAAATCGGACGAAGTGCACGGGTTCGCGTCGTCGCGCGCGCACGCCGAAATATTTTAAACACTTCGTAGGTCCCCGCGACGACGTTCGAATCTAGCGCCCCGACAACATGGTTTGAACACGTAGTTTTGCAGCGCCCGTTTTCAACGAACGAAGGAGAATCTGCTCGCGATCTTGCGATTTTTTCAGCAAGCCGTAGGTGATTAATCTTTCTAACGAAGTGCTACCAAATGGGCCTCTTGCGTGCGCGTGCCGCACTCGCCCCGACCTCGCGCGCGTGCTGTCGCAAGAATCCCCTGCAACAGACGCGGCGAAGTGCGCGCGCGTCGTCGCGCGCGCGGATACCTGCGCAATGTGACGTGAGTATCCGTCGGTTTTTTTTCCCCCGATTACAAATGAACCTGCATGTTTGTGCGACGGCAGTTTTCAGGAAAACTGCGCTCGCGCTCTTGCGGATCCTGAAGGGAACCATCGGTTTTCAGCATTGTCGCTAAGTTCGGCCGAGCGGGCCTTTCGCGCCACATGTCGACGTCTATTCGAACGCCTTTTGCGCGCGTGCTGGAGGTGGCACGATCCGCGTATCATAAGAACATGCGGGCCGCTCTCGCGCGTCGGAAATGCGCGCGCGTCGAATTTCATCCACAACCTTCACCACCGACGCGTGGACACCATCGTTGTCGCCGGCGCGATCAGCATCGGCGCCGTCACAGGCCGCGCGGTCGCCGTTGTCATCGTCGCCGCCAGCGTTGCTACTATCATCGTCGCGCCTACCGCTGTCGACGTTGCCATGATACCGCGCCCGCCCAAGTTGTCGACTCGCACTGAGGTGCCCGCTGGGAAGTGCCCAGAGGTCGGCGCCGCCGCTGCCGCGTCGGTCGCGCCGAATTGGCTGGCCGCTGCGAGCGCGAGCATGCGCGGGCAAGCGCGGCCGCAGAGATGCACCAGCCAACGCCAAGCACTCATCGCAATCGCCGCCGCATGTGTCTCGCAAAACAAATCGCTGGCGGGCGGGCGGTGCGATTGCGCGAGCAGTGGAGTTGACATTTGCTAGTTCCAGAAATGAATCGCACAACGTAGATTATCCATTCGGAAAAAAAAGTTCGGATCCACCACCTCCGCCCCCAGGATTTTCCCCGTCGCCTCAGAGGTGCAAGTGACATGTTTGCCGCGTCGCTCATTCGAACCATGAACTCGTGCCTTTCCAGCCAAGCCTGCCTCGACGCTCTGCATCCTTGTCACATGGTAGTCTGCGCGCGCCCTGGTTAATCACAAATCTGCAATGTTCAAGGACCCCTCGCGCGAGACAGATGGGGCGAAGTGCGCGAGCTCGCGTCGTCGCGCGCATGCCAAATTTGTTGTAAAATGCAACCGGGCCTTCGTAACCGATTTCAAAATCGAGCGTCCCGAGAACAGTGGAACACATGGCTTTTCAACGTGATGCTTCAAGACAAGGTATGCGCGCTTTCTTGCGATTGCTGAACCATCGGGTTTCAATATGGTCACCAAGTGCGGCCAACAAATCTGTCGCGCGCATGCCGAAATCATTCGAACGTTTTTGCGCGCATGTTGGGGGAGCACGATCCTTGTCGAATAACGCCATGCGGTCCAGTCGCGCCCACCGACCGCGCGGGCATGTCGAAATCCTTCACACCTTTCACCACCGACACGTGGACACCATCATCCCCATCGGCGTGATTACCATCGGCGCCGTCATTGGCCGCGCCGTCGTCATCGTCATCATCGCCACCAGCATTGCTACAATCACCAGTGCGTTCACGCCCGCCCGAGCCACCGGTTGCCATTGACGCGCCCGCGCGCCAGCGCGGCTTGCGAGGCGCGCTGGGATGTTCCAAGCGGTCAGCGCCACCGCGGCCGCGTCGGTCGCGCGAGACAGGATGGCCGCTGTGCGCGCGAGCTTGCGCGCGCGAGCGCGACCGCAGACACCCAGCGCCAAGCAGTCATGGCAATCGCCGCCGCATGGGTTTTGCAAGCCAGGTTGGGGTGGGTGGGTGACATGATTGCGCGGGCATTGGAGTTGACAAAACGCACACACACACACCGTGAAACAAAAACACACTGTGGAAACACACACACACACAATGTTTGGAAACACGCACATACACACACGGACACACACACACACACACACACGCACGCACGCACACACACACACACACACACACACACACACACACACACACACACACACACTGTGGTACAAAAGCGCCGTTCTGACAGACCTTGAGTCGTTCCGCAGACCATTGCGTTTCCCCCCAATATATCAAGTCCGGCAGGGTGAAGTTCACCACGCAGGTTGAACAACGCAAATAGCGCCCCGGCGGCGCACCCCGCCGTGCCAGCGGATGTGGGGCGATGGAGGGCCGCTCGGTGAACGGCGCGGCGGCCCCGCGAGGAGTCCTTGCGGGGCCTCCTCCCCCGCCGGCCAGCGGCGGCGCGGGTGCGGTTGTTGCGGCCGCTGCTGATGAAGCAGCTCGCGGACTGCCCAGGCCGGGGGACGACGGCGCAGTGGCACCGAAGAGCTTTCGGAGGAGCCGGCCGACGAAATCTATAGGTATCCGTTGCCCCTTGGCCAGGCCCTTCCTGGGCCCAGGATCTGTGCACACGCCCTCCTGGCCAAGAAGGCGTGGCGTATACACCGCTGTTGGGTTCAGGGTGTGCCTGGCCAAGCAACAGTGGATATGTTTAGGTCTCGTCGCCCCAAGGATCAGGTGGGGAAAAACAAACGCAGACACAATTAATCGGCAACTCCTTGGAAAAATACGCGAAAATGTGGGAAGTGGGGTGGAAGACGAAAACCCAGAAAATATAAGAAGATATGGGACATCCTGGGATTTGTGTGTATTTATTTGTGTGCCCCTGGGCCCTTTTAAAGGAGGATGCCTGGCTCTCCGACGATGTGTTGTTTTTCCCATCGCCGCATTTTTCCATCATTTCGGCCTCTGGGGGCAGTTTGGGGAACCCTGGGGTCACCAAAAGTGGGCCCAATGCGCAAAACTACCGCCTTCTAGGAAGCGGTCGGGACTTATTTGGGTCGCGGACGGAAAACAAAACATATCCCAGGATGTCAGTGAGGGGAAGTGGTGTTTTCCCTCCCCCTCCCCTCGGAATGCACCGTCTGTCGGCGTACACATGGTACCATGTCGCGCCTTTTCCTGGTGGCAGGGATGGCGTTTGTATGTACGCAATGAAGTGATTAGTCATCGAAACAAGTAAGTAAGTAAGTCAGCAAGTAAGCAAGTAAGTGAGTCAGGAGGAGCAGAAGGAGGAGGTGGAGGAGGAGGAGGAGCAGCAGCAGCAGCAGAGAATGGCGGTGGAGGAGGAAGACGTCCTGGAGGCGTCGGAGGTCTCGGAGGCGCCGCGGAGTGGTGATTGCGCAGTGTCGTTACCCTGTCTTGCCTGCAGGACATGCCGGGAGACTTCCAGATTAGGACGTGTGTCAGCCCAAGCGTGGATTTGCCCCGTTCGGTTCCGCGGATAGCGCGCGGCCCGTGCCGGCCCTCGTTTCGATGCCTGCGTCGCTCTGAGGCGACGCCTGTGTCGTCTCGTTTCGGTGCATTGGCGCTGACTTGCGTCCTGGGGATCGTCGATCGACCTCGGGCCCTGGCGGCTGCGGAGGGCGCAGCAGGTGCGTGCTGGCGCGCGCGCTCTGCCCACAGCGCCGAGTGGAAGTCGCGGGGGGCGCGCCCCGCACGGGCCTTGACCCGCGGCCGTGGCGCCCCATCGCCGGCAGAGGGGCCGGGAAGAGAGAGGGGAGGGGGAGGGGAGGAGGGGGAGGAGGGGGGGGGAGGAGGGGGGGAGGGGGAGGGGGAGGAGGAGGGGAGGAGGAGGAGGAGGAGGAGGAGGAGGAGGAGGAGGAGGAGAAGGAGAGGGGGAGGGGGAGGAGGAGGGGGAGGAGGAGGAGGAGGAGGAGGAGGAGGAGGAGGAGGAGGAGGATACGACGCTGCTGGGAACCGTCGCGCAGAGCACTGGACGGCCACCTGAGAATGGGGAGGCGCAGGCCTCCCCTCGGTGCCACAAGGACGTGCCACGCCCACCCGTGGGATCGCGGCGGCGGCACGCAGCACAGCGATAGCAGCAGCGGCGGGCGGCGCGGGGCCCACCTCGGTGTCGAAGTTGAGCAGGGCGAGCCGCGGGGCGCGCGCCACGCGCGCGCCACTCTCGAGACTCTCCGAGCCGCCCAACCGCCACGAACAACAACAAAAAAGCAAGCGAGTTGAAGCGGGCACCGGGGAAGGAAGTTTGAGACCAGGAGCCCGAAGCGGCCGAGAGGCCGAGATCCAGAAGCAAGAGCCCAGGGAGCCCACGGACAGGTCCAGAGGGAGCGCCCACGGGCCCAGGCAGCTTGCTGAATCCCTCGCGACTCTCTGACTAACCTCAGCCAGTCGACTTCAGGATCAGCTGAGGTGAGAGGACGAGCTGGGATCGATCGCGAATTGGGCCTCCCCTCGTCGCTGGGATGAAATCCAGCAAGGAAGAGGCGACGATTCCGACTAGCATGCTCACCTAACCTCGGGGGCGGGGCGCAATCCAACAACAGTTGTCCAGCAAGACCTGTGGTGTAATATCCACAGCGCACACAGAGGACAACCGACCCTGGGGAGACCCAAACAAAGTGGCCTCGAGCGTGCTGCGACTGCACCATCCCACGAGCGGGCAACACAGCAGCAGGGACGGTGGCCTGAGCGAGCGATGCTCTTCCGGGCCTGACTTGCTGGAACGTGCCTAGTCGCGGGCGAACGTTCCGAGCAGGCGGCAGAAAGGCAGGTCCTTCACGAGGGGGAACGACGAGGCTCTCCGACGAGGGAAGGAGCGCACGAGAATCAGGCGAGGAGGACCGATCATCTTGGACTGCCTGTGCCGACACTGCCTCATGGCTTATAACTAACTAGTGCTGTGCGCGGGCGAACACTCCGCACAGCCTCAGAGGCAATCTCAGATCCTTCACGGTGCCTGGCGACGGACGACCTGTCAGACGAGACAGGAGGACGGGCGTCAGGCGAGGGGGAGGACCGATCGAAAACCTGGATCGCTTGGGCTAAAGCATCCGTATCAGGAGTACGGCTGGACACAGTGGGGTGGAAACTGACCCCAGCACGCACAGCCCGCTCTGGCGGCGTGGGCGACCGAATCCGAGCGAGGCCAGTTCGATCTGGCACGCACGCCCTGACCGCACGGCCCCGGGAGGGGCTCCGAGAGAGAGGTCGCTTCGCCCTCTCCACCTCGCCAGGAGAGAGCGAGCTTCCCGAGTCACCACGAGGGGCCGCGACACGGGCAGGGCAAACCCAACTGGAAAAACGCTTGGCGCTCGCTTCATATCGGGCCCCTGTCTTGCAAAAGTTGCACCGCCAAAACTGCTGGCGCACAAGCGAAACAGCATGTTTTTGGTGATCCTCAAGCTTGGCGAGCTTGGGACCAACCTTCTTGGATTTCAACTTACGTGGCCTAGTGAAGGTGTCAACTCTACCGTGTGACATGTGAGACTCGTGAGCCTGCAACAACCACTTGAGCGTGCCACGAACTGATTTCAAGGCAATCTGCATGGATGAGGTGAAAGCTTGCCGACTGGCCGCGTGGAGGTCCCGACCCTGCTGAGCAGCAAAGTCAGCCCACCTGTTAGAACGAGCCTCCAGGCTGTCGCCAGCCTGGTGACCACGAACGTGAGACACCCGAAGGGCCGCTCCAAGGCCTCCGTGATCCTCGATATTCCTCCAGATGGCCTCCCAAAGGTCGGTGTTTGGGCGCCTGGGACCACACTAAATCCTGGACCAAGTTCCAGGCCATCGATGAGGCCGTACAAGTCGGTATGCACATGTACGGGCAATCTGCAAACTTGTAAAACTTGCAACAACGCATATAGCTCAGATCGGGGTGAAGTCTGAACGGGTCCAGGGAGGGCTCCATATACCAGTAGCTGAATATCACGCATGCTATATTTGATGAACCCCCATCCCGCTCGAGTCGCTTCTGGCCAATACCACGCTTTTCTGCGCGCACCGTCGGTGAAGATGTCCCCTGTGACAAGGTCAAGAAAGCTGTACATAATACGCCACCGCCCACTATCATCGCGACGAGGGATTGGTGGCATACACGAGCGCGGGGCCATGCCACGCGTCCAGAACCAGGAGCCGTGAGAACGAGGAGGGAAGCCACGGGTGTCCACGTTCCGCATGGCCTCGCACTGTAAGTCAGCTCGTCCGTCACATTCCCACGAAAGATGATAAGATGTGCACACGTCACAAGTACATGCTGGACAACATGATGTGCGCGCATACCCGTGCCGATAAAGACGTTGAGGGGACCATAGGCTTCCCCCCACAAGTGCCCTCAAGAGACCACCCTGCATGACCGTCAGCTTCCAGGGGCCCTCGGGGTCCAGCTCGGGATCGACTTCAGGGTCATGGGGAAGATTTTTGAGGAGGCCCAGGATTGGTTCCAACCAGTACCCGAGAGGCTCCTTGGGATCCATGCCTTCATCTGCTGGGTTCGGTCTTTTGCTCCAAGCCTCCCACATACGACGGACAGCTGCAGTACACGCCAAATCTCTCACCGTCGTCGGCGCATCCACTAAAAGGTCGACTTGATCACCGACGTCCGTGGTAAAGCGAGGAGGAGGAGGAGACCAAGGAGGAGGAGGAGGAGGAGGACGAGGACATGGACGAGGAGAAGGACGAGGGGGGGGAGGACGAGAAGAGGAAAAGGAGGAGGGGGAGGAGGGGGAGAAGGAGGAGGAGGAGGAGGAGGAGGACGAGGTGTTTGGCTCAAGACCGGCTCAGTCTAGATCTGTACTCCCCTCCTGAAGGAACGGCCCCGCCTCGAGACGCCCACGCTGTGCGAACCAGAGCGCCAGAGGGGAGATACAGGTTTGTCTGCGCAGCAGAAACGTACACGCCGGCTGCAGCGAACTGCAGTTAAGAGAGCATTCGTTTCCAGTGGATGCGTAAAGTCTTTGTTGGGATTCCCAGCTTCGTCACAGTGTTCAGCGTTGTATCCAGACAACCACGTCGATTCGTGTACGCTTGCTTCTCCAGCTCCGTACTCTGGATTGGCATGTAAGTTGGACCTATTCGAGCAGCGACTCATGTCTGTTCCATTGCAAGGATACGCTTTCTGTGGTGCAGTTTGGTACGTGGGAACCCGTTCCGGACGCGAGTGAAACGAAAGGTGTTGTGAGCAACGATTTCGAGGAGCGCGCGGCGCACACTCATAGCGAAAAGCCGCACCAACGTACATCACATTACGTTGCGCCTTCATTTGAAGATGAATAACGCACAGGACTCCGACGAAACACGGCCTTGCCCCAGCATGGTTCGGATTGGGTCCCGGAATGGTCGTCGCATGTTGTGGTGTGCGATTCGCCCCCGAGGTGGTGCCGAGGCAGTCGTGCATTCGATCAGCCAGGATTTCGGGGTGGACGAATACGAGCACAGTCTCAGGTCGGGCTCTGCCGTTCCCCTGTCCCCCGAGGAGGTCTGCCCCCCCCCGCCCCCGCCCACGAGCTACCTCAGAAGCGCTCTTCGCGATTTCCCCTCCTCCCCTCGCCTCTCCGTGGCCCTTCTTGGCCGCATCATCTGTCTCCTCGTCCTCGCCATCGTCGCCCCGACGGGGAGGGGGAGCGAACGAGCGAGCGGCCGAGAGGCGGGTGGACCCGAAGCCGACGGCGCCCGCCACGGTCTGGTCGCGGCCGTGCGGCGCGCGCCGCGGCGGCGGGCGGGGGCCCCCAGCCTGTGCCGCCCCGCTGCCGGTTCTCGAGGAAATTGGGCTCGACCTCGCGGGTTGCACGCTTGGGGGCGCCAACCGCGTTCGCCCAAAGACTTCGACCTCCTGCTGCTGCAGGTCTGCACGCACGTGAAGGCTGAATCTCAGCTCGTGCTTCAAGAGTGATCGCCCCCCCCCCCTTCCCCCCTACGCGAGACAGGTGAGCAGACCCCGCGGAACGCGGAACTATGTTTAAATCACTCGCGCCAGGGGGCGTCGCGGGCGCCGCAAGCTGAATATTGACGTGCCACACTCGTCGCCGTCGCCGTCGCCGTCGCCGTCGCCGTCGCCGTCGTCGTCGTCGTCGTTGGGGGGGAGAGAGAGAGACGGAAGAGCCCTTTCCGCCTGCCTCTGCCGCTCCTCCCTCCCTCTTTGTTTTGCTTGTAGCCATGTCGGCTCCGTCCACCAGTTGAGGCGCCTCTTTCCCCCGCATCCTCTCTCTCTCTCTCTCTCTTCTGTCTACAACCATCTTCGCCCAACCTCCTCGCTATAGCGGAGGCGTTGTTGTCCCCCTCCGCTGGAGCGGCGCCGCTTGCGTCGAGCCTGTCGCCCTCCTCCTGTCTGCCGGGCGTCGGCGCTATCACTGGCGCGCCGCCGCGCGTTTCCACTTGTCGGGCGCCCCTCCCGCGATTCGCCCGAGCAGGGGAAGCATTTGTTCGAATCGTGCGCCCCGCTTGTCCCCCCCCCGGCGCTCCGCGCGCGCCCCCCCCCGCCCCTCGGGCTACAGTTTGCGAGCCGTCGCGCCCCGCCGTAGCCCGACTGCCGTTTGAGCCCGTGCGGCGCCGAGTCGAACAAAGCTTGGGACGCCGAGTTCGGCTTCAGTCGAAGAAGAAAGCACGGCATAAACGTAAACTTGCGGCGCTCCGCGCGGATTTCTTGGATCCGCGTTGGGGCCCCCTGGCGGCGCCTCCGGCGCCGCCCTCGGCTCGCTCCGCGCGCCAGGGAGGGGGGGGGGGTCTGGCGCGAGGGCAAAAAATACGCACGGAGCGCCAAACATTTTCGTTTATTAGGGCTGACCCGTGGATCACCGTCCACGAGTGCCAGATGATCGAACGTGCGCTCGTTGTTGCTTATTGCTAAAGGGTGCGATGTCTGCGTGATGATCCTGAAGGCGTCTGGAGCAGCGCTGGCAGCAGCAGCAACAGCAGCAGCAACTGCAGCATATCCAGCACCATCGGCAGTAGCAGCAACAGCTGCAGCAGCAGCTCCAGCAACAACAGAAGCAACGCGGACCTCCGGGGGCCTCCCAGGGGCCTTTTTCGTCCTCGTCCTGCTCGTCCTCGTCTTCGTCCTCGTCTTCGTCCTCGTCGTCGTCGTCGTCGTCGTGGTGGTGGTGGTGGTGGTCGTCGTCGTCGTCGTCGGCGTCGGCGTCGGCGTCGTCCTCATGCTCCTCCTCTCCTCCTTTCGCCCTCCTCCGTCTCATGCCCTTCTTCTTGTCCAGCCTGCTGCTTGTCGTGCCCTCTGTGCCGCGTGCTGTAGCAGGCTGTTCCCAGCGGAGGCATCGGGGAAGCTCCGGGGGGGGGCCCTCCGAGACCCGGGAGGGGGTCCTCGTGGGGCTCTGTGGGAGCCTCTGCGGAGCCTCTGGAGAGCTCTTGGGAGCGCCTCTGGAGCGCTCTGGGAGCCCATGGAGAGCGCCCGGGGGGCCTCTGCCTCCGAGGCCTTCTGGAAGCTTGTCGGAGGCGTTTTGGAGCCTTGCTGGCCGTGGAGGGGCCCGGAGGGGGGAGGAAGCGCTCCGAACTGGACTCTCTTGGGCGTCCCTTGGGGCCGTCTGGGGGGTTTCTTGGGCCGTCTTGGGGGCCCCGGGAGCTCGATCGGGGGTCTTGGGCCCAGGGAGCTCGATCGGGGGCCTCTGGGGCCGTCTTGGGGACTGTCTTGGAGGCCCCCCGGGCAGCATGGGCCCGATTTCGGACGCCCGCGGTGCCGTGGTGGGCGTTTTGGGGCGCGGGTGGGAGGAGCACCACCTGAAAAGTTAAAAACCTTCGAGAGTATCTATATTTTTGCGGCCTCGGGGCCCTCGTGGGGGTCCCTGGGAGCTCCATGGAAGCTCGCGGGGGCCCTCCGATCCCGTCCTGGGGCCCTCTCGGGCTCGCTGGGGAGCTCCCCGGAGACCCTCGAGGCCTCCGCGTCGGGGCCCTCCTGGGCCGTCCCGGGGTTGTCCCGGGCCGGGACGGCGTCACCCCACGGGCGGGGCCCCCGGGGCGCCGCCGCGGGTGACCATCGCTCGCCCTTGTCGCACGCGCAATGCCCGGTACAATACCGGTCTATACTACAATAATTGTAGTATAGACTAGGGCTGACCGGGCTGACCTGTGGACTGCCGTCCACGATTGCTAATGTATTGGGAGGGCGCATGCTACTGCGTAGTGCTTCAGGGCGAGCTGGGTGCTCGATGATCCTGTCGGCGCCGAGAGCATCGTTTGCAGCAGCAGCGGATATGGCAGCCTCGGCAGTAACCCGAGAGGTTGGTGGAGCGACGTGAATGGCAAACGACGGCAACCATTGTGCAGAGGGAACCGTGGGCAACGAGGAGAAGGAGGTCGAGGAAGGGAGTGTAACCTGTGAGGGAAAACCATACCCCGCGTCTCCTGGAACACGCGGCGTGCGGGAGTAGTCCCAGAAAAAGCGTTCTGGGGCGTTGGCGGCTCGGTCTGATTGGTTTTTCGGCCATCCCTTTCCAGCCCAAGATGCCCCCAAGAGGGCCCCAAGAAAGCTCCAACATGGGCCCCAAGACTGTTCCAGAGGGCCCCAAGAGGGCCCCAAGTGAGCCCCCCAGAGCTCCAGACGCGGGGGCAAGTCGGCTAGAGCTCTCAGGGGGCCCTCAGCCCCCACAGGACCCTCTCAGGACCCAAGACTGCCCCAAAGGGCCCCAAGAGGGTTTGAAAAAGGCCCAACAACTTGGCACGAAAAGGGGCCGTCTTCGTGACAGGTTGTAGGCCCCTCTTGGGGCCCCACGATGGCTCCAAGAGCGCCCCAAGAAAGCCAGAGGAGCCCCAAGACGGTTCCAAGAGAGGAGGGAGTCCACTTGTGAGTAAAAAACCATACCCGCACCTCATGGGACACCTCTTCCTCGGGAGGGCTTGCCAAAAATTCGTCAGGGCCCCCCCGCGGCACCCAGGGACGCTGTTTTCTGAGGCCTCTCTCGCACGCCGCGTGTCCCAGGAGGCGTAAGGTACGATGCGAGAGGTGTCCCAAGAGGTGTGGTGTGTGTTTTTCCAATCCGACGGGGCTTCAGTGAAATAGGAAATTTCAGGGCTTCCTGGGAGTCCACCCGGGCCACGGTAGGCCGATTTCGGAAACTTTGGGTGCCGTGCTGGGCCAGATGGCGGGGTTGTTCCAGAGTTGGCCTTCTGGGGAGGCTTCTCGCGGGCCTCTCGGAAGCAGTTTCGAAGCCTTTGGGGGGCCGTTTGGGAGCATCTTGGGGCCTCTTTTGGGCCTCTCGGGGGCCTCTTGGAGCCTCTTGGGGGCGTCTTGGGGCGGAAGGCTGGGATCTTGGGTTCGAGGTCCCCCTCTTGGGGCCGTCTTGGGGCCCTCTTGGGCCGTCTTGGGCTCGTCTTGGGCCGTCTTGGCGCCCTCTTGGGCCGTTTTGGTGGCCTCTTGGCTCTTGGGCCGTCTTGGGGCGGTCTTGGGGGCCTCTTGGACCGTCTTCGCGCCATGAAAGCCGAGAAGCCGCGCATGCTCAAAAAGTACGTTTTCCTTGGGGAAATCGTTGATTTTGGCCTGTTGGGGCCCTCCTGGGACGCCACTTGGGCGTCTCTTGGGCCGTCGTGGAGGCCTCTTGGGCCGTCTTGGGCTCTCTTGGGGCTCCTCGGAAGCCACCGAGGGCTCTCGGGGGGCCCGCGTGGACCGTCCCCACGAGCAGAGCCGCCGAGGTGCCGCCCCCCAGGGCCCAGCGAGGGTGGCCCCAACGGCCCCTCTCGCACGCGCAACTCCTACCCAGGCCAGCGACGTCGAAGTCGGTCTCTTCGACGACGCGGCAGGGTGACCCGTGGCTGGGGTGACCCTCGGGAGCAGGCCCGCCGGGGGTCCCCGAACCGTCGAACGAGATGCGATAGCAGCGGCTTGCGCTGCTGCGCTTGCCCCCCCCCCCCCCAGCGGCGCCGCGCCCTGGGAAAACCGCGCGCCAAAGCCTGGTCTTGCCCTCTGCTTTTTCCGGTGTGTCGCCGGCCTCCCCCTGTCGGTTCCCCAGCGGCGCCGCGCCCTGGGAAAACCACGCGCCAAAGCCTGGTCTTGCCCTCTGCTTTCCGGTGTGTCGCCGGCCTCCCCCTGTCGGTTCCCGCGGTTCCACCGGGCGTTGCCCGCTGCTCGTCGCCCCCGCGCGCGGGGAACATTGCTCCAGCATCGAGGGGGCCACTTGCGAAGCCTACCCTACACCTCCCACGATTTCTGAGGGGGAGGGTGGGGTTCACATAATTCAGGAGCTCCCGAGCGAAGTGAACCCCACCCTCCCCCTCAGAAATCGTGGGAGGTGTGGGGTAGGCTTCGCAAGTGGCCCCCTAGCATCTACACTCTGCAGGTGCGAGGCCCCGGCAGTGTTGTTGATGCCGCGCGTTGAGCTCACGCCGGAGCGGGAGTGCGCGTCTGGGCCTATCTCTTTGTTTATTAGGCGGTGCCTCGGTCGTCGTCTGGTTCCTGTTCCTGCTGCTCCTATGGCCCTTTGCCCCTCCTGCGCACGGCGCTTGCCTTGAACCCACGGCCTCGCGCGCCCAGCAGGGGCTCGGGCACGGCGCGGCCTCGCACGCGCGTCTGCCCCGGCACGGTCATTCGAGTACTTCTCATGGGCAAGCCGCCGGGCGGACACGAGCGAGTGCCCGAGGCAACGGATGATCGTGTGCTTTCTTCTCCGCCTCCCTGTCCTTCTCCGCCTCGTCCTCCTCCTCTTCCATCCCCCCTTCCCTCCTCCGCCATTCCCGCTAATGCCCCTCCTCCTCCATTCCCGTTCCTGCCCGCCCATTCCTTCTTTCACCCCTCCTCCCCCACTCCCCCGTCCCCCCTCCGCAATTACATACCTTTATATACTCAATATAGATATTCTCTCCTCCCCCCAGTTAACTACGTGTTTAAAATGTCCAGCCCTCTCTTGGTGCGTATGTTTTTTACACCAGATGTCAAGCTGTTTCTTCTTCGTTGT